TTGAACATCACAAAGTCTGTGCTAACCAGTGCCACCAAAATATAGGAACAAATAAGACAATCTTGCCCCAGGACTCAAGATATTCAGGGTGCCTGTTAATATTGTAGAATGTTTCTAATAATAAAGTTCTAACATATCTAGGCTTTTTCTATTATGCATACAATGTCTTTGAGTGTCAATATATGATCTATGTTATAGTATAAATATATAGCTACATTTGTAAAAAAATAACTTAGTACATACATCGTCAATTAGGGAAAAGTACGTTCTCTCATAGGGGTAAGAGGGAAGGGGAGAAAATAATCTGAAAAAAATTAAACATGACTTAAACAACATTACTACCTCCAGCATTTATAAATCAAGCAATCATCACCCTTCAATGATTTAAATTCTGATCAACACAAATAACAGTCATATTATTGAACGCATAAAATTGAATAAGTTACTAAAAAATTAAAATACTTAAATTTCTATTTAAAAACTTGCCAAATGTAGTTTAACATATGAAACACAAAAATACAAAGAAATTTAGAAAATATTTAGAAAAAAAAAAAAAAAATTTTTTTTTTTTTTGGGAATTTTAGCTTACTTTTATAATTAGTATATATGCATAAAAAAAACCAACCCAAAAACCAACATTTTTACATTTATATACACACACACGCATACACACATATATGAAAAGTATGCTCATGTGACAATACAATCATAGCTAACTAGTCTAACACTAATTATTATAGCATAATATCCAAAACAGAAAAAAAAATGATATTTGCATACATATATATATTCATAGATACACTCACAAACCAATGGTTATCGAAGAAAGTATTGAATACCTGAGTACAATTGAGTCAAGTATTATAGTTATATTACTAGAAATCAGCGTGAAAACTTCTAATCCCGATACATACATAATCTATATATTATGGAAATAGTCATACTTCCATAATATATGGGTTGCGTATGTTCACCTAGATAGTCTGTTATTCACTTGTTTGATTGTCCTCAAAATACCATAAATCTTAAGTTTTGATACAACTATTTGTAATCTGTTGTATCAAACGTCTTATAGAAGTCGATAAATACACCTTTTTATACAAAAATTTTTCTGCAAACGTAAATTTTCCGTTTGCAAAACAATTTTTATTTTATTAATTAAAAATAGTATTGCATGTTCCGTACAAATATTTTTCTAAAACCCACACTACTTTGAATGAAAGGAACCGTTATCTTTAAAAAAGATGAATATAATCAATTCGTTCAAAATCTATAAAAAAAATGGAAACTATTTATATTGTTCTGTAATTGCTAATATATTTTTTATCACCTCATTTAATTAAAGATTTAACTTTTGCTACTTTAAGTATTACAAGAAAAGCACTATTACTCCATGAACACTTACAAATTTAAAAAAAAGGCAACTATATCAATAAATTACGATGTTATTTATGTTATGCTATTTACGTCATCAATTTCAGGACATTAGTTTTGTTTTAAACTTCTAAAAACTGTTTCAAATTCTCTAAATTTAATACTTCATTTTTAAGATTATTTTTATAAAACACTCCATAAATGATTAACTAACGTTGGAAAATTTGCGGCTAGTTAAGGTCCTACATTCACAAAAAATTTGTTATATTTAACTGACACTGATTTTTTATGTAACTAGGTTAGGGTGGGGTAATCTGAGCCTATTTTTATCTATTTCTGACTTTGAGTTAAAAAAAGCGATGTTTAGGTATCGGCTTTTTGATAAAAAATGTCTTAAAATCATGATTGGACATCCTGCTGAACAAATTTAATAAATATCTATTACTTATAATACTATCAATAGGTCTGGGGAGCCTTTATTTGAAGATACCTATAAAGACCCACATTACGTCACTACGTGGGGTAATGTGGGTCTACATAAATTGTCGGCAGTTCCGGTTTAAAATACTGCAGCCTATGAAATATCCGACATACATTCTATATGCCCGCACCTTTATTATAGTATATATATATATATATATATATATATATATATATATATATATATATATATATATATATATATATATATATATATATATATATATAAAGTATTCTTGAGATATTTTTATTTAAAAAGAAAGTGCATCCATACATACACAGCACAACAAGAAAAAATAAAAACTCAGAAAAAAAAACGGTGAATAACAACAGAAATAATAATGTTTTAATGTGTTTCATAAAAAATAACTATTTTTTTAATCACTGCACTTTCCTGGTAACATTCATGCTACTTTTGGCACTTCTTAGATTTTTTTGGGTATTTCTTTACTACTTCAGTGAAGGTAATAGTTTTTTTTGTACATTTTTTTTAATTTGGTTTTTTTTCTCTCTAACTTTTTGTTCCTCAAGTAACCGTCGTTTGACGTCATTTGTAAGGAGTTCTCCACATTTTGCTTGTACTCTCTTTCTTTTTTGTTTTTGTTGTTCTATTATTGCTGCTGTTTCTGCAAATAAATTAGGGCATATGATTGACCTTAAAGCTTCTTGCATAGCTGATCTTGGTGTTTGCAATCTTGGAGATTTAGGGCTATAACGTTTAGGTAATTGATTGAGAAAGTCAATACCTATTTTTTTTTTCCATCTTTTCTTTACTTAATGGTGAGATACCTCTTCCGCAAAATCCTGCTATAGCATTTGCTGAGAGAGTCTCTGACACAGTTTTTTCAATAATTTTGTAAAAGCTGTCTTACCAAAATTTTGTGTTGCGTTTCTCTTGAAAACCGCTTTAAAATTTTTCTCCACTTATTCTTTAATGGTCCGAGACATCTAATGGTTGTAATGCGTGTGAGCAATTTGATGGAAGACAAATAATTTAGACATGGTTGTCCATAGCCGCTTTTATGGTACCGTATGTTAAATGACTGCCATGACCATCATAAAGCAATAGTATTGGTTTTTGATCTTGGTCAACAAATGGTATAAAGTACTCGAAAAACCTAAACATAGAATTTATTTACTTCTATTGAATCATTTGTACCATCTTCAAGAACAATAAAGGCAACAACAAATAAATAATAAAAAAAGTTAGAAGAAAAGAAATGAAAATTAAAAAGTTCAATTAAAATACCAATTTTCAAATAAAAATTCTTGCATCCATCTACTTGCTGTTACACCAAAACACATCCTTGTGGTCCATTTTCTATACATTTAGAATACAGATAATCTTCTCCCTTAAAAACAACAAATGGTGGAAGATATCTTCCATCTGCAGACACACAGAACAGCACAGAATAGATAGCTTTACCAGAAGAGGCAGCCAGCTCACAAGCATCTTCGCTTTTTGGATGTACAAGCCCATTGATGAGCCCAGTCTCATCAAGGTTGTATATACTACTTAGTACTATGTTATTGTTATGGATTACTTCAGATGAAATAGTAAAAAAATTATCTATAACTTCACGTGTTAAACTTTTAGCTCTTGAAAATGTAAGTATTTCAGGTTTACGTAATCGAAGTTTATCAAGATGACGCTTCCTAAAAGAAATTATCCAATCTTTTCCAGAAACTCCATTTTTAAAAAGAGTTTTCATCGTCACGGCTGTGCAATATTGAGCAACTAAATTACAAATGTCAAGAGAATCTAATAGAAGACCATATCTTTGACAATACTGAGCTACAGCTACAATCATAGTTTCATCATTTACACGCAGCACACTTTTTCGACCATCACGCTTGTTTGCATTAAATTCTTGTTGTTTTATTCTTCGCCTCAATGTTTCTTTAGGCATACTTTAGCAGCATTATAAATAGTCTTTTTTTCTTCACATCCTAACATAACTATTCTTTTAAAACTTTCAGGATTGTACTTGGGTTTTATTTTTTCATTGTAACATCTTGGAATTTTTAAAATACTTTCTTAAGTAATATCTATAAAAAATCTGTTGAATTTTCAAAGAAATAAATTTGGATTAATCATAACATATTACAAAAAAAATATTTTAACACCAAATAGGTCTTATATAATTTTTTTTTTTGACCAAGGTAAATATATTGTTTTATATAAATAATTACACACGTTTCTTAATATAAATTTCAAAGATATAAACTTCAAACATAAGTGCTTAATAGTTCTAAAGATTTATGAACACGAAAATAGTTAGGTCTGATGAAACTAATAGGTTTATAATGTTACTAACAATAACTTCGATAATATAATTAAATATCATAATATTTTACACACATGGACCCACTTTACCCCACTTGATAATATTTCAAATTTTAAACAAACCATGTGCGTTAATGTCCGAAAGGTATACTATCCTTAAAATATAGTAATTCAATTTTTAAAATAACCATTTTTCACACGCTTTTGCCTTAATCGAATATATTTTCTCTGAAATTTAAAAACGGAGAAAAAAATGACTTTGTTTATGTATCTACCATTTTAGCTAAAAAAGTGCCGTTTCCAACAGCATAGGTAGGTTATTTTTAAAAATTTTCAATATAACATATAAATATGAATTAAACCCAGATTATCTTGTAAACCCACATTACCCCACACTACCCTTTCACATTAAATATTATTAAGCGTATTAATTATTACGCTTTTTTTCTTTTGATTTGTTTTGATTTTTTTAATTATATTTTTACCAATCGGGCGCACGTTTTTCTATAATAATTAGTTAAATAAATTGACTCAAAATAGGTAGAAATGGCTATTCTGAGTCTGTATAAGCAGCAGTTCCCAGCCCCAACGATAGTGGCTTAACAATTTGCAAGGGTTCATTATAAGACCTTCAGAAAATAATTTTTTTATGCTAGCCAGTGGTTTTTTTTAGATTTTAAATTAAGTAAAACCCTACTCAGACAAATTCTAATTGTGCAACATCTGATATACAATTAGGAGAAAGTACATTTTGAACTACAATGTAAATATTTATACCTCCACATATTTTAAACAAAACATATAAAAATCTATTTTATTCTAAAATTATTACAAGTCATTAATGAAAAAAGTTGTTACAAAAAAATATGGTGCTTATAAATAAAATTAGATATTTAGAAGTAAAAATACATAATAGCTGCAAAATCGCAGTTATTTAGGAGTAACCTTAATAATTCTAGTGTTGGGGTTACCACAACTTATCAAACAAAATCAAGGGGTCGTTGCATGTTACAATTACTTATTTTTTATATAAATAATATCTAAAACAGTTTACACAATTTTTAGCTGTTTTAATATTGTCTTTTGCTCTTCTCCGCAGATTTTCATGAAGATAAAAAAAAGTCGCACAAAACACTTAAGGATCGCTACTAAGAAAAAAAAAATTAACATGCTATATACAAAATTTTATATATACATATATATATATTTGAACATATATATATATATATATATATATATATATATATATATATATATATATATATATATATATATATATATATATATATATATATATATATATATATATATATATATGTATATATATATATATATATATATATATATATATATATAAATATATATATATATATATATATATATATATATATATATATATATATATATATATATATATATATAATTTTTTAATAAAAAAGCTACATAAAAAGCGAAAAAATACGGCATAAAACTCCAAAATCATGGTTAAGAATTTCTGAAAAAACACGTTACAAATCTTTTTTTTTAAACAATTTTTTAAACAATTAAAATACTTTTTTTTAAATGTTAATTTCTCAGAAAAAAATTAATATTAAGATATGTGAGAATATCTTGTTTTGCTACGGCAATCACCTTAAGTGTGATTGGATTTGAATTGTACATAAAAACAAACCAAGCAAGGTAGTTGCAGTGTAGTCATTTGAGCCTGCATGAATTATGTAGAGTTTAGATGTTATCAATTATTTGAAGGTCGACCTAATGCTGATAATATACATATATATATATATAAATATATATATAAATCAGTGTGTATGTGTAGCAAGACATAAAGTTGTAAAATTTGCTACAACTTAAGGACTGAGTATTTTTTATAATACTAAAAATATTTAAGCCAAGATTCGCAATCTCCTCCAACCAATACCACAACATTGTTAGGATTTTATATCTTCTCTTTGATGATATATCATTACTACTACTAACAGGTCTCACCGACCACAATTCTTTTTGATGATACACATTTTCTTTGATGATATATCTTTACTACTTATAACAAGTGTTACCAATTTATTTAAATCAAATCAAGCTAATTTCATTTTAAACTATTTATTAGTTGTTTATAGTGATGGGTAAATTCATTATAAATTTGCTCAAATTTTAGAGTAACAAAATTATTAAAATGTTATTAAAAGTAATTGTGGTCGTCATAGAAATTTTAAAAACCATTTAAAAAAATATTTTTTGAATCAAATTTAAGTATGACTTATGCTTAGGTCAAGTTTGAATGTTTTTCAAAAAATTTCATAAATTGTAAACAATATTACCCCTACAAGCTCACTGTTTCTGCCCAAATACGATCGAAATAACTTATAAAATTTTTTGTTTCTTTATCTTATACTAAATATTAACAAAATATTTTTAATTGATCTAGTTATATTTTAGCGTTTAAAAGTTATGACTATACAAAATTAACAGCCCCCTCCGATTTGATCAAACTTTGCTCATAAGAATACTAGAAAAAATACTAAAAATATTACTAGGTTTTTCATTAATTGTTATAAATAGTTTTAAAAAAAAAAAAAGTAACTTCTAAAATAAAAGTTCAATTCATGAATATATAAGGAAAAATATTCAAAATTCAATTTGATTTTTAAATTGCCAGCTCAAATGGGCCTAGCATACATACATATTGAAATATATATATATATATATATATATATATATATATATATATATATATATATATATATATATATATATATATATATATATATATATATATATATATATATATATATATATATATATATATATATATATATATATATATATATGTATATATATATATATATATATATATATATATATATATATAAATATATATATATATATATATATATATATATTTATATATAACTGATATAAAATCTGTTAATGTAAAACTTATATCACTTCAAAGCCTGCCACCTCTACTAAAAATCCATTTATTTATGTGTATTTGGCCGTACATTAAATGAGAAAAAATCCATATATTTATGAGTAACTGGCTTTACATTATGGGATGTCTTGCGGGACCATATTATAAACAACATAAAAAACATCTTTATTGGCTGCTAAATTTATTAAATACTATAATATTAGATTTTGCTTTTCAAGAATTGAGTTGCTTTTTCTATAAATATTCACTATATTCAATATGCCAGCCTTTGCTCAGCCATCAGTTGTGTAAACAAGCGTGGAAAGAATGTTAGAAATAATATATCTTTTTTTAGATTTCCAAAGGATAAAAATAGGTAAGTAATTATTAGTCAAGTCAAATTTATAACATAACTAGTATATCAAGAATTTAAAGAAGCTTTTAAAACATTGTTTTACTTTAAATTTTATGAAATAAAAAACATTTATACATAACAAGATGTTAATAATTCGACTAAGCTATTTAGGTTTAACCTATTATTTAGGCGCAAGCTTTGGGTTCTTTATTGTCGTCATCAAGATCTTGATACAAAATCATATGAAGAACTAAATCTTAAATATACTATTTGTAAGGAACATATTGATTGTTTCCAATACTTTCTTGCCAATAATGGTAGATAAAGAGCTTTTGTAACTGTTGTACCAACAATTTTTAACTTTCAAAATCAACCTTCTACCTTAAATATAAAGAGAAAATAGCTTACAAACAGACTTTATTTACGAGATGAAATACAAAAAAACAAATCAATAATAAAGTCGAGTTAAATTAAATAAATATTGTTGAGAATAGCAGGTCAAACAATGTAACTGTCAAAACTACTTTTAAAAAATGTATTTATCAACCCAAGTTAAGATTAGTCGACAAGAGCTCTCAAATGTTTAGGATTTTCATTATTAAAACAACAAATTTCACATCCAAATACAGGAGCAAAAGTTTATATAATATTTGATTCACCACATCTTATAAAATAGGTTAGAAACAATTTAATAACATATTTGATCCACCACATCTTATAAAAAAGGTTAGAAACATTTTAGAAACATTTTATCTGGTTGTAAAATAAAATCGTGGAAGCATCTGGAAGAACTTTTCAATTTAGACAATGTTATTGCTGTGCTACTTGTGCCAAAGTTGACAGATCATCATTTAGATCCAGAATTATTTTTAGAAAGTAAAATTGGCAACACAAATTTTCAGTAGTCAAGTTGCTACTTCTTTGACTGAATACGTTTGTGCAAAACTATTGCCTGAAAATGTTTTGTCAACAGCCTTTATTATTAAAAATGTGGATATTTTATTTGACATCTTGAACTCTTGCAAACTAAAAGCAGATAAATCAACACGCTCTACTTTAACTCTAAATAGTAGTTTTATACAAAAGAGTTTGGATTAAGGGTTGGCATTTTACTAGTTCTTGCAGATAAAAAAGTATATCCAGTTATTGGGGTTTAAATGTCACTATTTCTAATATTCTTTGTCTTGCAAACAAGTTGCTTGATGAAAATTTTTTTATGTTTGCACAGCTCTATTTAATCAGGACTGTTTAGAAAAGTTTTTTGCATTAATACGAAGCAAAGAAGGTTGGAATGACAGACCAACTGTAATGCAGTTTAAATCAGCGTATAAAAATATCTTAGTACTCCTTTCAATAGAACATTTTAACTCTAACAGTAATTGTCTCCCTGAATCAGATTTCTCAGCTGCAGCTACCATTGACTCAATCACCAATATAGTATTTGAGAATCAAATTTCTGCAAATGAACAATTGATTTTCAAACATCCAACTGCATTATGTAAAAAGAAACAAAAGCCTTACACATTACAAACTGTTTTGACTGATTCAGTTTCACAGTCAATTAAACAGGTTTTAAAATTAATTGCAGATGATTTGATAAAGAAAGTTCAAGTCTGTCAAAAATGTGTACAAGTTCTTTCAAGTGTGGCACCCTGTGAAAGTAACTTATTTAATTCTGATTCTTTTTTACAAAACCTACTTCACGAAATGGAAACTGTTTTTATAACCCAAATAAAACTTATATTAACTAAAAAAAATATTGTACAACAAATTAATAAAGTAATAAAAAACGATTGCAATTTTACTATATTTATATTTGCTATTTATTTATGATAAACAAATTGATCAAGCTTTTCATTTAAAAGAATATTTAATCAAACGCTATGTTTATACGAGAATTATATTATATAAGGTTATATAAACGTGATCTGGCACCACGAAACAAGACATGTAAAAACAATTAAACTCGCATTTTCCATACTTAATTTTAATTTATTGATAATTCTTGAAACAAGATATTTTTTATTTATTGTTGTTTTTTCTCTCAATATCATTAACTAAATATTTAGCATCTAATTAAGGAATATATATTTAAACTATAATGGGGTATGTATTTAAACTAATATGAAACGAATAAAGTTATAACATGATTAAAATGACTTATGAAAAACATATTAAATTTACATCAAATTTACAACTACGTCAACATACTAATGTCAGATGATAAGAAAATGTTTTATAAGCAATATTATGAAATAGTTTTGAAAATATTTTAAATTATAAAAGAAAAGTTTTTTATGGGACGCCCACTGGTAAAAATAATGCAAAGGTATAAATATTTCACTAGGAGTTGCGTTGTTTATGATTACTTGGTCCCGCAAGACATCCCACAATGCTTTGCGGCTAAAATTACATATATTTATCCGGAGTTGGCAGGCATTGTATCACATCAACGTAATTATGATATGTGATTTTAGTGTAGCCTAGCAACAATTTACAAAAATTTAATGATAAAAAAATATCTTTTACTCTTAAAAAAAAATATAAATACTAATTTTGGTAAACATTCCAAAAAAAAGATAAAAAAATTCATCTGGAAAAATAAAAAATGAATAAATTTCTACGCTAAAAGGTTTTTTAAATAGGATTTGAAAGCAATAAACAAAGCACACTGAAGTAGCTATTGCTAAACTTACTTTTCATTTATTCTTAGAGGTTTTTATTTTATTTGGATAATTGCATTCTGTACTAGAAGTTACTTTTACAATAGCTTTGTTTTAATAAATAACTTAACGCGTATTTAATTGTCAAAATATAGAAATAGTAGCTCGTTATTATTGAGATTTTTTTTATATTCAGTATTTGTAGCCATTTTTAAA